GCAGGCAAAGTTATCCAAACCTGGCCAAAGTATCAAAGAAAGGCGGCGGGGGCCGCCTCACGTGATCCACGTGACGTGCCGGACAGCCGACAGCCGAGCCTCCAGCCAGTCACGTTTTCCCGTCACATTCCAGACAATGCAACGTTTGCAACGGAACAACCTCCTCTGCAAGTTTTCTCGCTTCCCGTCAACGGACACGCAGTCATGGCCTCGTGCCAATAAAAATGACCCGAATGCAATGCTCACAGGTCGAATTGCCCGTTTCGATCATAACGACTCGGGCCATGCCGCTCCCGTGCACAAATCGTTGATAAGCGTGGAGCCGGGATGACTGGTGGACCGACATCAAGCTTCACCTGCTGGCCAATGATGGCTTCCTCCAGTGCAAATTCTAGAAATTCGCCCCACAATCGGCGTTAACGGGGATTTAATCACCGTTTCTACAGCCATGGATCAGTCAGGATGATATAATTAACCGGGCTGCCCCAGGCCCAGGTTTCAGTTCTGTTTTTACAGTGTTTTTATTTAGGTTTTGGCTTGGCTGGGAGCTGTAGATATAGTTCCCTTCTCTACCTTTGGTCAAATTCTGTGGTTATGTCCAAAGAACATTCGTTTTCGGAAGCCGGGTCCACCAGGTCGAGGTCTACGTCGCTGTCTAGCTCAGATGATGGGTCTTTGTCGGGACGGCCTTACCGACTGGGGACGTTGAGGACGCGGACAAGATCGAGGTCCAGACACAGTACAACACAGGTGGAAAGAGTACATTCCGGAAGACATCTCGATGATCATTCTGTCTACCATAGCGAAAATGAACTGGATTTGGACTCATCGTCCGACGACCGGGGGGAGAAAGACGAGCCTGTCCTCGAAGTACGCGGGGGTGTGGTGAACGAGCGTGACCGCGATCTGGAAGCTGGAGCCCAGGCATCAGGCCTGGAGAAGTCACGGACTGCACGGTCAGACAAATCTAGAGCGGACCCTAAACTGGTATGTCTGATTTATTTGCTGTGTTTCTAGTGCTAACAGGATAGGTCACCTGGGATGGTCCCGATGATCCAGAGAACCCTAAGAACTGGCCAATGAAGAAAAAGTGGGCGGCTGTGGTGACGGTATCCTGCTTCACCTTCATCTCGCCCGTGTCCTCCTCCATGGTGGCACCAGCCCTAAGTGCGATATCTGCAGAGTTCAACATCACGGACGAGGTCATCTCTCAGCTTACTCTGTCCGTCTTCATTCTGGCTTACGCTGTCGGACCGCTCTTCCTCGGACCACTTTCCGAGATCTACGGTCGAGTGAAAGTCCTACAGTTAGCCAACCTCCTGTATCTCGTCTTCAACATCGGCTGCGGAGTATCACAGACCAAAGTACAAATGATCGTCTGTCGATTTTTCGCCGGATTAGGCGGTAGCGCTCCACTAGCTGTAAGCAACCCCTCACACAGTTCAACACACCCATCTAACAAACTAGATCGGAGGTGGTGTCCTCTCAGACTGCTTCAAGCCCGAACAGCGCGGCAAAAGCGTAGCCATCTACAGTCTCGCCCCCCTCCTCGGGCCAGCCGTCGGCCCCATCGCAGGCGGCTTCATCGCCGAGAATACGACCTGGCGCTGGGTATTCTACGCGACGTCCATCGCGGACGGCGTAATACAAGTAGCCGGCCTCTTCTTCCTGCAAGAAACCTACGCCCCCATAATCCTCAAAAAGCGCGCCAAGAAACTCCGCAAAGAAACCGCCGACACAAACTACCAAACCGAATTCGAGCGCCAGAACAAAACCTTCGGACAGGTCATGCGCGCCGCCCTCATCCGTCCCTTCCGCCTCCTCTCCACCCAACCCATCGTCCAAGCCCTAGCGGCCTACATGGCCTACATCTACGGCACCATGTACCTAGTCCTCTCGACCTTCCCCTCCCTCTGGACCAGCCCAGAATACTACAACGAATCCACCGGCATCGGCGGCCTAAACTACATCTCCTTAGGTCTAGGCTTCTGGCTCGGCTCACAGATCTGCGCCCCGCTAAACGATCGCATCTACCGCCGTCTCAAGGGTAAGAACAACGGCGTCGGGAAGCCCGAGTTCCGCGTCCCGCTGCTCTTCGTGGGCGCGTTTCTCATTCCCGCCGGCTTGTTCATCTACGGCTGGACGGCCCAGACACACTGCCACTGGATCGTCCCGAATATCGGTGCGTGTCTGTACGGAATGGGTAATATCATCTCCTTCCAATGTCTGCAGACGTATATCGTCGACTCGTATACACGGTTCGCCGCCAGCGCATTAGCAGCAGTGGCGTGCATGCGCTCGCTCGCAGGCTTCGGATTTCCGTTGTTCGCGCCGTATATGTATCAGGCGCTGGACTACGGATGGGGAAATAGTCTATTGGCATTTATCGCAATAGCGTTGGGAGTACCGGCGCCGGTGTTTCTCTGGAAGTTTGGGGAGAAGTTGAGGAAGATGAGTACATATGCGGCTGGATGATACCTAGTATATCTACTACCTTATGTATAAAGATAGAAATACAATAATTCACAACCTCAATCGAACCAATCAATAATCATCCATAATCACACCCTCTTCTTTCATTCATAAAAAGAACGAAAAGAGAAAGAAAGAAAGATAAGGTGGGAAGGAAGATGGGGAAGAAGGGAAAAAAACAAAACGACAAGGACGTGATTCGAACACGCGCACCCGAAGGTATAAGATATCGTCTGTTTGGATAAGAAACAATCACCGTATTTCAGGTAATCATCCCCAAAGGCCAGATTCAAGTCTTACGTCTTAAACCACTCGACCACCTTGCCGTTGTTCATTGCAGTTTTGTTTCAGCGGGGGTTTTGGCCACTATCGGGTGGATTTGGGGGTATTATTAGTCAGCATTATTTATTCAGGAATAACTAGTTAATTAAATGATTTGGTTGGGTATTGATTATAGTGTGGTTGTTGTTTTCTTTTCATTTTCAGTGGATTATATAAATTAATATGTAAAATAGAAGAGAGTGTAAAGATAAATATAATTTATGTATGTCTGGTGGGGGATTCTGGGAAGGAGGATGATGGTAGATGAAATGTCTGTTTGGAGTTTATAGTTCAGCTTAGTATCATTTTCACTTGGATACATCAAAACATACTATGTTAGTATCTTCGATGATTAACGGACATTCATCAGCACAACGGCTTGTATGACAGCAGAAAGGCATCAATTCTCGTATCGTATTGATTAATAACTGTTGACTGAATCAACTCTGACAAATTGCGAGAAATGATCCCGGTACTTCATACCTCTTCATCTAAGGTATGTACTTAGCTTGATGGTTCATAGAGGATACGGTACCTTGAATAAGGGCTCTTTGCACTTAGAAAATGTCATCTGGAGGGTACTCGTTCATTGAATTATTGTATGGCTAGCATCTCGGTCCTGGTAATGTAGATGATGAGTGATATGTTGTATCTAGTAATTGGTATTCTTGTTATGAGTATTAGTGGAAGGACGGTTCTGGTATTCGGACTCTGAACGGATTATTATATCATCCCATGGGATTAGTAGTCCTAGTATTGTAGCTAATCCTAAGTCACCAGCACGTTAGGCAAATAGTACTACTACATCTGAAGATGGATCGACTCGCAGTATCAAGTATATCAACACCATATAGCGACGTATCGTTAGAATGCAGGGCATCATCTCAAGCATGCATTCTTGATCACAGCGTTGACTTCACCCAACACCCCTCAATCCCGACCATCCACCAAACAGCCCATACACTCCTTAATCTCCTCACCACTCCACACCCAATCCCTCTCCAACAATTTCCCCGGGTCCGGATCCCTCAAAAACGCCTCCCTAAAAGTGACCACAAAAGGCCCACCCAGCACCTCTACCACCCCCTCCTTCCTCTTCACCTCCACCCGATGATCCAACTTCCCACCCTCATCACCCATCACCCACTTCTCAATCCCCAACTCATCCCGCCCAACATCCATCAACACCACCGCCCTCACATCCCCCTTACTCCACTCAAGCCACAACTTCGCCTCCCCCCTCAAATACTCCAATCCCTCCGGCCAGCCCACATGAAACACCAAACTTGGCCAGGTCCTCGCCCGTCCAGGGGGTAAGTCACGCGGCCGCCAACTCAAATCCGGCTCCTTCACGACGTCTCCTTCGGCGACTGTCGTAGCACCGAGTGGCCTGAGGGCAAATTTATCCAAAGTATATCTGAACATCAGGAAGTCGTTGTCAAAGAGCCCCTTGGCTAGTTCTTGTCGGTGAGGGTGGCCTTTCATGATTAGCGTGCGGGAGGGGTAGTCGTAGGTGATTCGGGCCTTTGTTAGGAGGAATTGGTCTTGGTCTAGGGATTGGGTGATGAGGGTTGGTGGGACGTTGGTGAAGTGGAGGTAGGGTGTGTGGTTGGGGTCGGTCTTGTAGTAGAGCCGGCGTAGGAGGGTCGGGCGGGTGTAGGGGTAGATGTATAGTGGCTGGATTGTGATTCTGCGTTGTGTGATGGATGTTAGCAGTATGTTGCTTGCTGGCTGAGGTTAGTTATAGTTCACTGTAATGTCATGGCGGGTCATAGATGGAAGCGGGTTTCGGTGAAGGTTGGGGATCTCCATCGGGCCAAAATGTCGAGGTTACTTCTGACTAAAAGTGAATAGGAGTTATACTAACCTTGAGATCTTGGAATAGTTCGTGGTGATAGTTGAAGAAGATGCAGTCGGGGGAGAGGATGATTTTTGGGACATTCAGTCAAGAAGAGAAAATGTTGTTGAAAAGATAGGGGCGAGGGGTCTGGGAAAGAGGAAGCTTAAGGCAGCAAACAGAAGAACAGGCACAACAATCAGGTGAACAGGTAGAGAATAAATGAAACAGATGAATATCCACATTGCTTCCAGCAACTTTTACTTATCCAATGAATCATATCGGTACTCCCATCGAAAACCCCTAAGTCCATCTTCTACTCCAGTGTCAAGGTAGTAAAACGAGCGACTAAGTTAATAATATTTCCTGGCTATCCTACATCTGCAAAAACCAAGTACAAACAACACCTCACCGTCAACTCACACAAATCAAAACTTAAGCAGAAGCACTGGGGGCGGCGCCGCTGCTGCTAGGGGCAGAGCCACCGCCACCGCCCATACCAGAGCTGGAGGAGTCGTTCTCGACACCACCATCAGCAGTGTACTCCGCAGCAGGAGTGATCTCGCTGTTCTCAGAGACGTCGATACCGAGGGAGATCCATCCGAAGACACCGTCACTCACATCGTCACCGAGGAGGACATACTCAACGAAGGGGTCAATGGTGTCGGCCTCCTCAGAGAGGATGCTGTCATCAGCGTTCTCAGTGAGCTCCTGGGTGTTGGTGCTGTAGGGGCTGGTGGCCTCGACCTTGGTGATCAGGTCCTGGTCGAAGAAGAGCTGGCCGACGTAGTTGGCGTGGGAGGTGTAGAGACCGGAGATGGTGTTGTTGGGGAGAGCAGTAGTCTCGTTGGGGGAGTGGGAGAGAACTGTTGTTGAGTTAGTTATTGATAGTTTTCTCAGACGCATGGGACGTACCGTGAATGTGAGTAGCACGGCTGGTGTAGTGGCCGGGGAAGATGGAGTTGAACTGCACGACACCATCAGAGTCGGTCTGCTGGATACCGCGGAGGAAAGTGGCGTCCAGGTTGGAGGTGTCGCTGGAGTCACCGTTGCCGGAGGCAGCCACGCCAGAGTAGACACCCTATACATATAATCAGTATTGCACGACGCAGAGAGATGAGGTCAGTGGTAAGTGGCTTACAGTAGCGTTGCAGTGCCAGATGTCAATGTAGATTTCAGGGACGGGTTCGCAGGTGCTGGTGTCAATGAGCTGGATGTCCAGGTAGAGAGGCACACCCTCCTGGGTCTCGGTGATGTCGTTGCGGATGAGCTCGCCAGTCACATCTGGTCTGGTTAGCTACATAAATCCCTTTGGAGAAAAGATGGCCATACAGTAAGGACCCTGGGTGACATCCGGGCCAAGAACACAGGTGGCGTTGGAGGCAAAGAGGACGTTGGGGTCGGTCTCGGGGTTCACGTTCAGAGACGAGTGGTGGGTGGTGTTAAGGATGGTGTCAAGGTCACGAGCCTTGAGAAGGGGAGCGTCTGTATCTTAATTAGCCTAGATCAATCTTGACCGGTAAGGTAAGGACCATACGGGTCTGCAGGCCCCTCTTCTGGCGAATGGCATTCACAGCGTTCTCGCGACGAGCAATGCTCTGCTTCTCAAGGCCGCGGGCCTTGAGCTTCGCAGAGCAGTCGCTCAGACTACGAGGAGCACGCTTCATGAAGGCAGCGCGCTCAGCAGCTTCGGCACGGATATCGTGGCCGGGATGAGCAGAGACGACGCTGGCAAGGCCAGCCAGGCCGGTAAGGAGCGTGTTAAGCTGGACCATCTTGATGGATATCAACTGAAATGAGGGAAGAGATTGGAGGTAGAAAATGAGCGGTGATGAGGATGTTGTTGGATGCTAATGAGATCTATCCCCGGGGCAGGTCGCTTTATATCTTTTTTCCAGAACATCATGCCCGTCAAGACGATGCTATCCAGCTGACGCAACCAAGGGAGCAGACCGCCAAATGAAACGCCGGCAATTGTTCAGCTGTCGCCAAGGGCTTGGATGGCTTCGAATTGCTTCATCGTGCTGGGGCCAGACCTTTTGGTAGGTAGGGCACGATCCCCCATGACGACGCGGCCCGACATCCACTTGTGGAGAAGGGGTTGCTAAATTATGGCTAAGTTGTGACAGGCTTATGCATGAATGGGCGTCTTTTCAGGTCCGCAGCGTTTTCAGTTTAGCTCAGGGCAGTCCAGGGTAACCCATCTCGATAATTGGGACCTGTATGGGTCTTGAGAAGCTTCTAGCTTCGCTAGCTAGATGTCTCCAACCAGAAGCGTAGCCATGGAAGTTGAAATCTAGTCATCATGGCATCTCATACCTACCAGCAAAAGCAGGTCAGCCTTCTTATTCCCAGCATATACCTCCAGCCCAGTCATTACAAAATTCTGAAGATAGAACAGCGAATACCTCGGCCAGTCATCAGTCAACGGCAAAGTATGCTCGAACAGGATCTAACTCCAACACCCTCGCTACCGAGCCACGATCCAGGTTGATCGTCGTCTCCACCAAGTGGATGTGCCGCTTAATCATCCAGTTTGAGGAGGCTTGGCACCACCGGCAATTGAATGCCCCAAGTATCCGAAGCTTGTCGTCCTGTTATTCAATCTCCTTGCTGCAAAAACTGTCCACAGGGTGCTTAATGATCCGGATGCCGCCGGACTTGGCGACCAGGAGCAAACAAGGAGCTGTCGACACACATGCAGTTTCACGGCCCGAGAACCTCGAAAAGCTATTATTGGCCGAATCAATCAGTATCGGGCCATTTCATGCATCGGTCACGCCAAATATCTGTGATCTGAATGGAGAGTATCCGGAGGACTGTGGCGCGGACTGACAGGGCCGAAGTTGAACCGTTCGAGGAATAATTTCCTTCCACAAGCAAAGCAGATGGCCGTGCGTAGATCAACAGCATAGTCAACGCGGATCAAAGACCATGCCCTATCATGTAAAACCCAAGATTAGCACACCTCCAGCACAGAGCCCTCGCAGCCAATGCCAGTATGAACGTCGTCATCCAGCATCGTACCCTTATCACAGCCTCCCATTAAGGGCACAAACTGGAGACAGCCAGCACGTAATCTCTTGACCCGCTCAGGCGACAAGGTAAGCTATCCATTTAGGACCCAGGACCCTCTAATCGAAGGGAAATTTTAGACAGGGACGTAAAAAAAAGAAGAAGACCCCCAAAATCAGGGACAAACACCCTGTCACGTAAGCGGGTTGCCCTGCAAGGCCGTGGGGGGCGTCACGCATATCCACATCATTAGGAATAGGCTCATCACGCACAAACAGCCGGCGGCTTGGCAAGCACACACACTGAGTAAACAACGAGAGGTGATTCGTGGAGCCGAAGAAACGCGTTGCGAAGCATTGCAACGGGCGGAGAGAAAGTGAGAGAAGATCGGCGGCGGGTGTACGTAGGTATACGTAGGCCCTCCGCCGCGGCGTGGCTTGGCAGAGCGGAACCACGCCTGATCTAATTCGGCACGGCGGATGCATTCTACTACTTTTACTGTAGATTGTTATTATTGTACTTGTGACTAAGTAGACCCTTCTGTAACATTAGTTGTAGTTGTAGATATAGCAAAGCAGCCATTTTTACCTTAGTTACTACCCGCATTTACGACAAACCAACTCCACACCACGCCAAAATATACTCCTACATTGAGCATAAGCATTTTTATGCTCCTAGTGGGATGATTACGACTTCACTTCGGGACCCATCGGGAACCGCCCTCGATCTAGATAACTCACAGGGATATGATGACGATGCATCGAATCCACTACTTGTACTGTGTAGGTGGTTGGGTAGCTATTGATTTTCCTCGATGTATGGATGGCCCTAGTGAATTGTGTCTGCCTACTCTAGTCTACTACTATACAAGATCGACATTCAATCCATATTTCGGCAGAATGAATAAAGTTCATTATGGAATTAGAATATAATTTAGATTTGGAGTGATTGATAAGAAACACAAAAGCGCGATCAAAAAGAGGTGGGGTAGTCCCACAGAAAATAAAAAAAACGGATGGGCCAAAAAAAACGACAACAGACGGGTTCGAACCGCCGCCTCCGAAGAGAATAGATTTCAAGTCTATCGCCTTAGACCACTCGGCCATGTTGTCTTAGTAAGTTCACTGTCTTAATGGACTATAAGGGTGCTTCGACAAGCCACATGATTAGAATCAGGGACACAACAATCCCCACTTCCTGTCGCACCAGCCAATTTTTACTGCGACATGCTCCTGGCGGGACTGATAATGTGGTTTCCGCGGTACAAAGTTTCTGATAGCTTTTTCTCCTCTTAGCGAGGCGTTGAGGATTCCAAATTGCCTGGAATTGTTACATGAGTTCTACCCTCCAAACCGTACGAGAAGACAAGGAGAGGAATAAGTCACAAAGATACGAAATATTGGTATCATGCGTCATTACTTAGCTATCACTAACGTAAAGTGAACAGAAATAAGCAAAATAGATTAATCATAGTAACCGAGCATACCTTTCTGTATGCAGACCCACCAACTCGTCGTCAGCAGCAAACCACTGTCGAAACTGACATCCCGTCCCTCACACCTCCTGGTGAACCGCAGTAGCCTTTTCGGCCACAGCATTCGCAGTAAGACCCATCTCGGCCGTGAAGGTGCCATGCGGTCTCCACTTGGCCGAGGTACGAGGCGTGGTCTCTTCCATCATCTTGTCCACCTGCTCAAGAGTGAGACCCTTGGTCTCCGGGATGAGGAAGTATGTGTAGACAAAAGCGCAGGCGCACAGTGAGCCCCAGATGAAGAATACCTTGGCCTTGAGGTCACCCTTATCCTTGTCGACCATGTAGGGGGTAATGACGGCGATGATCTGACTGGTCAGCGGGTTTTGTCAATTGGGGAGCAAGTCACTTACGCAATTCCACAGCCAGTTTGAAGCCGTCGACAGAGCCACACCACGCGACCGAATAGGCAGGGGGAAAATCTCGCCAATCACAACCCAGGCACCCGGGCCCCACGTACTAGCGAAGAAGAAGATGTAAATGCAGATGAAGGAAATCTCTGCGCTGACAGCGTGCTTGTTGCTGCCGTCCACGGTGCCGACGATAGCGACAATGAACTGGCAGATGACCATGCCAAGTGCTCCCCACAAAAGGAGCGAACGGCGGCCAAACTTCTCAATTGTGTAGAAGGAGACGGGGGTCGAGCAGACGTTGACGATAGTGGTAATCATGCTGATGAGGAAGGGGTCATCAATGGTTCCCAGCTATACTCTGTCAGCGCATCATCTCGGGTACAGATCGATCTCACTCACCGACTGGAAGAAGGTCGTTCCAAAGTAGAACACAAAGTTGACACCGGTCCACCTGAAGGACGGTTAGTATCTCTCTTCACAGTCTGTGTGTGGGTGTGGCAAGGTTGAGACTTACTGTTGCATCATCTGCAGGGAAGTACCCAGGACTGTCCGACGAAGGTTGCTGTTGGGAGAGAACAGACTGCCGCGGAAGCAGTTCATCCAGCTGACGAAGTATCCACCCTCCGGGATGACCTGCATCTCGTACTCATGGTTTGCCACAATCTCAGCCAGCTCATCCTTAATATATTCCGAGTCTTGGGGCTGGCCACGAACGCGGGCAAGGACCTCCGCAGCCTTGGCCAGGTTACCCTTTCGAACAAAGTAACGAGGAGACTCGGGCAGACAGAGCAGACCACCTCCCAAGATGATAGCCCAGGCAAGCTGGAGGCCGATTGGGATACGGTAGGAGCCCGAGTCGAGACGGTTCTCAGTGCCGTAGTCGACGCATGAGGCCAACATGAGCCCGATAGTGATGCAGAACTGGTACCCTGAGACAATAGCACCGCGAACCTTGCGAGGTGCAATCTCAGACATGTACAGGATGATAATGGCGGAGACAAAGCCAACGCCAAATCCCGCGATCAGACGTCCGGCAACAAGCAGACCCAGGGAGCTTGAAGCGGTCTGCAGGACAACACCAACAACGAAGACCACACAACCACTGACAATAGTAGTGCGACGACCAAACCAGTCTGCCAAGTCACCCGCAATGAGGGCACCAAAGAAGGTTCCAGCCGAGAGGATCGACGTGATCAACGATTTTTTCCAGGACGGGAGGACGAAGGAATCCGTGGGGGTAGTGTTATAGTCCTACATTGATGTCAGTCCCTTGTTATACAGTTGAGGCGATGACGCTACATACCAAGCCCTCAAACTCCTCGATGAAGTATCTCATTCCCATGACACCACTGATATAACCCGAGTCATAACCGAAGAAGATACCACCAAACGCCGCAAAGGCACACATCAAGTAGGTCTTGAGGGTGACTGGGGCCTCGACGCGCGAGGCGTCCACGAAGCCATCAGCCATGGCTACTGAGGATAAACTGTGTGATGGTCCGCACAGTGAAAGGAAGTGAAAAGAAGAAGGGTGGGCAGAAGCCTATATGGCAGTAATGAGAGAAAGGTAGCGGGCGTTCACACGAAGACCGGGGGATGTGAGGGAAGGTGGCAGAGAAAAGGAAGAGGGGAAGCACCGAGAAACAAGACAAGAAAAAACGAGATCAGGGGTATTGGTCGGTTTTATAATCCTGTGCGAGGGTCCAAGTTGCATCATGTTCAGCTCACTGCTGGACTCGCGACTTCCCGTTGAGAATCGGGCCAGCATCGGTTCCGGGGAATGCCCATGGGGTTCTCCAGCTTTGACCACCGTGCCGTCTGTCCAGTTTGGCCGCCGGCCGTGACTCGTTGGGCTGCAGGACGGCCATTGCTGTGGAGCGTTATTCACTGCAGTCGACCGATGGCATGCACAGGGCCCAGAATCCGAAATTACCACCAGTCTTGATTCGGATGGCTGACTTCGAGGTGAATGCCTCTCATCCTGCCTGCATGTCCAATCATCAGGCTGAGGTAATTTCCCGGAGAGTTAGGTTTTACCAACAGGGGAAAGTTCTGTACGACCCCAGACCTGGTTTCCCCAGGTTGACCGTAAGAAATGTATCCACAAGGGGGGCAACGGTTTACGGGGGAGTCCAGATTCAACCCAGCACGAGTCACTGCTATACTCCATAGTAGGTATAGTAAGTCTGCAAGTCAAGCTAGTATAGTACGACTTTGTTGACAGGATTTAGTTACCAACAGCCAAACAGAAACTCGGTCCAGGCCGGCAAACCCCGTTTGGCTCTGGCATTCACTCTGATTGGCGGGGTTTCACAGGGGTCGGAAAATTGAACCTACCACGTGCTGCGCAGAGGAAGGATTCCCCACAATCAAGTGCCAGTCTAGCCGGATCTGCTTAGTGCTGTCATTTTGGGTTTCCGATCACGAGATGAGCTTCTTGGACCCTGGTCAACCTTCACAGTTCACACAGACTACTAACAGAGCACTCCTGCCCTATCGGGGCAACCTAGTAAGCATCTTTCCTTGACCCTGACATGTCACCCTCATTGTTCTCGACTCCCCAGTTCACGATTCCCAGAAATTATCAGTCGCCATGTTAAGCTCCAATGTAACCTTTCCGACAATGGTCCATGACCGTAGCTAATCACGAGCCATCCCCTCCAGAACACCTGGTAGCGAGCACAGACGGCCGCGACGCCACCACGACTATTGAAGGTTGCCCAGCCCGCTGAGTCGGAAGGTAACTGGTCTCCTGTCCGGATCCAGGTCTTGGTCCGAAGTGGCCCTCCGTCCGCGGGATTCTTTGTTGGGTCTGTATCCCAGCTGGAGGAACAGCCTCGGACCTGACCGAAAGACTCTTTCAGCTTCACACGTGGTTTATTTTCTTTTTCTTCTCCTGGAGTGGCCTATCCGGGTGACTTGCCTCCTCCAATGGGTCTATTTCGGCCCCGTCTGGCTTGTTCTAGGGTAGGAGAATGTTTTCGCCATCTCAAATCAGCGTGTCATGCCAAGAGGCTTGGCGACCACGACGTCTCGTCCCGCCAGTGCAGACGCCATCCAGAAAAATTCAACTTTAGCCGAGAGTGTGTCAATACGAGATGCAATCAATTATAGTACCCGTGCTATACGCATCGTAAGTTGGGTGCGCTAGAAGCGAGAGGCCATGGATATCAAGAAACCATGACAGGAATTGCCTCAAACCATACTAACTACCATGGATCAATGACCCGGTGAGCATTTTCAGTCATCTAGACTACTATTAAATACACAGCTTCCGCTTGCCACGAATGAGAAAGGAGTATGTCCGAAAGGCGTCTCAAGTGCAGTCACACTGCAAGGGTCTGTCATGTTGGTGTTACAGGTTACTGGGACGGATCCCGGTCATGTGAGGTGGTATCGGTGAGAAGTGAGATGAATCTATTTTTTTGGGAATAAAAAGCAACCACTACAACAGTTTACCTCCTTTGATACGGACTGTATCACCATACACCTATTCAAAGTGGATACCGTATGATCGGTGGTGATAGTAGCCTCATAGTGATCTTGCAGTAGCATGGCGGGAATTCATCCGCTACTATTATTTATCAATTCATTCTATTTAACTCCTGTCCAAATATTTATCTTAGCTACTATTACACAGAGTTTATCGATTAACTATATTATCATAACTTACTTATTCTCTTAATACCCTTCTTCAATCCAGTTCAAGAAAATCTTCCATTCCCCAAGCACCACCTAACTACCAGAAGTTACCAACACTGCGGGGTAATAAGTAAGGCATCCATCACCCACATGGCCCCCTTCCTCCGCGTGGTCAGGCATCCTGTCAGCTCCCCCCGACCAACAACCAACCTACTCACTACTAAGAATGTGGGGTACTCTTAATCCAGCCAAGCTTTGCAAATACAACACTACAGCATACCATGTTATTAGAACTACAATCAGCAAAACAAGGACTTAACATAACATTCAGCTCTGATACCCATAATACGAAAGCGCATCTACTAAGCTCAAGTAAGCATAAGCCTAAGCATAACCATCATCCTCTCCCTTATCAGGGTTATCATCAACCACCCATTCCACAAGAAAGGTAACACAACATGTAGGTAACTACTATCCCCTCAGCTCACTCACAAATACAAATACAGATTGAATGACTTACGTACGCACGCAGTAAGCACAGCCCACAGACTTTTCATAAAGATAGAGAATTAACCAACCAGAACAGCACATCATATGCATGTAGTACTTATGTGGCAAGTTGATGGCTGCAACATTCCTTAAGGGGTATATATATATAATTGGATGTAGTAAGGTTAGTAAGTGCCCTGCCCCTCATCGGGTATATTTACGTTTACTACTGGCCTATCATTGGATGTTTATATTATAAGTAGCAACATTACTTTGGTTTATTGAGACTCTAATAATAATAAAATAATTCATCATTCGCTATGCAATATCTCCAATCATACAAATACTTATTCTGCCTTTGGCTTGCTGTTGCTTATCACCCCATATCTCCCGTTCTCAGTGCTTGCTTAGTAGATACTAACGAGGTATCTAAGGTCCCTATAATACCCCACCACGTCAGCCCAATTCCACCATAATAAACAAATTAAATAGATGGATAGTAGTAAATAGACGTACCTTAAACACCAACTCCCCATTCTCATTAGCAATCTTATCCGCCAGATACAACCCCTGCAACTCTCTGTATCCACCATCCCGCTTCCTCAAGTACGCCGTCAACTTGGGACCGCGGCCAGTGTTCTCGAGCTGAATGTCATTGGCCGTTTCGGTGAAGTTGGAGCCGCCCCAGATGAACCAGCCTATACAAATCAAATTATTAACAGTCAGTATCAATACCATACATTCACTTTCTAGTATCTGCATTTCGAAAGAAAATAAGGATAAAATGGAGGGGGAAGGGATCATACCATCGGTATTTCCAATATGTCTATCAAGACGGATCTTGCGAGCAACATACTCGCCATTCGCACGACGCACCTCGGCGTGCAGGAAAGTAGCACCGGGCTCGTGGATGAGGTGGATGTTTTGGCAGCTGTTGTGGAAGGACATTTTCGTAGGTATTTTTCTCTTTGAGAAAGAAGAAAAGGGGTGAGGTGAGGTGGGGTGAGGAGAGTAGAGAAGTTAAGTAGGAATGAGGGAATTAACTGGGTCAAGTGGAAGGGTTTATATAAGTTGGAAGATCGCAAGCATTGCTGCCCTACTGAAACTAAACTAGCTACTAGCTGCTAACCTTCTGGATGGAGACCCTGAGACTGGGGGACTGCTGCTGCTGCTGGTGAAGTCACCCTGCAGGAAGGGAAGCTCGAGTGGGTCGATTTTCCCTTCCCTTTAAAAAAAAGAGGGGTGGATTGTGGATGTAGTAGTAGTGGGGCTAGGCAGCATTTACTTGTTTAGGTGCTGGAAGGTTCTGCTGCTGGTGATTATTTTCAAAGGGGGGTAGAATATATAGTATACTATATTATTTATTGCCTTCGATATAAATATTTACGATGGTAGTATTGTAGTATGGCTGGTTCGGTTCCGCCCGAGTGCCAGTAGTACCGTTGGACTGACTGAATGGAAAGGATCGGGCTTGGAGAAGAAATGATGGAATGATCCGCACAGGGATCGAGTGGGCCGGGCAAGACAAGACGGTCGCGTGACTTTCAATAGTCTACATTCATTGCAGTATTAAGTTAGTTACTATCTACGGAGTAGCATCTTCAATTACCTCAATATTAGGAGATTACTATAGTAAATAAGAGTATCCTACTTGTCCATGTCCACTAGAAGCATCATGTTCTTTCACTTCTGCCTAAGGCACCAATCTCCCAAAAGACCAGTCATATCAATCCACCTGAAACCGCAGTGGGCTCATTGCTCCAGCCACATTCTAAAAATATAATACTAAATTGATCTGAACAGCCACAATCACTACTTACTAGTAGCATTGGCATCGCCACATCCCCACTCCACAGCTCCCTGGGAGGCAAATGGTCATTTTACTACGAAGTACTACGTACTGCTGTGGAAGGCTTGGTGTGACTATCATCCTTGGCAGTTATGATGATGATTCAAGTTGGGTGGTGGCACAGTCCGGATGGATGCTCCTATTTCAGTAGTATTCGTGCTACTGTGGGTGTTGTGTAATATGTATTATGATCATACTACTATTGGTACTAGTAGGATTGACTCAGGTTAATACCCTGCAGCCTCTACAGGGTGATGATGTTGATTGTGCCACTGTGGTATCACATTTACCTAGGGTTTGTGAAGTACAGCGTGAGTACACAGCAGAATCATTCTGCTTGATCTATAGCATTAAAAAGAAAATGAATTATTAGACTAACATTCTAGATTAAGACAGTGTATATATATAAACCCCGGTTCCCAACCTGGCTATGCAAAACCCAATATCATGTGGCCAATACAGCTGACCAAAACACCAGTGAACTCAAGAAAAGAGAATAATCCCATACCACACAGCATCAATATCAACTGCTGCACCCTGCCATCCCCCCGTCAATCAGATGCAAATCTCCATTAACGTACCCGCCTGCCTTACTGGCCAGATACAAGATAGTCCCAGCAATCTCCTCGCGCCTCCCTGCTCTTTGCAGCGGAATGAACTCGCGGTCAAACGCGCCCTCGACCGAGATCTCTTCGTTGGCTGGGCTTCCACACAGATTGCTTGGGAACACTGTTTCAGTTAGCACCTAGTCTCAGAATACAGAGGGAAACACTCACGGCCAGGAGAAATAGTATTTGCTCGAATCCCATGAGGAATCAAATACGTCATCATCTTCCTCATCAACATTATCACAGCTACCTTACTCATTCCATACGCACAGCCCCCAACCACTCTCCGGTTATGTGCTGCGACGCTGCTCACAGCGATGACCTGACTCTTCTGAAAGACATTTCCTCGCTTATTGCCCTTGTCCAGTAACGATATGAAAGCCGCAATGGTGTAGAATACCCCTGTTGTGTTTACCCGGAACGTGTCTAAGAATTCATCGACCGGAGTATCCATGAGGAAGGATTCCAACTCATCAGGAGTCGCATTCTCCTGTAGAGTGCGACCGACCTTTACGCTGATAGCTTCCGGTGAGTCCATATAAAGCATCCCTGCATTTGCGACGAGCAGGTTGATGTATCCGGTTTCAGTATGAATTTGATCGGCAGCGGCAGCAAGAGAGGCCTTTGAGCCTACATCCGCAACGATAGGAATGATAACACCAGGATGCATGTCGGCTGTATCTTCGAGAGTCTCTTTGTGGCGGCCCAGGATATAGACTCTGCTGGCTCCATTGGTAGCGAGGGCGAGAGCCATCGTCTTGCCCAGACCTGCGATAGTAACATCATCAGCTTCTGATAGAATATTTTAAAAGTGACCGCATCACATACCAGAGCTCCCGCCGGTGATGACGGCAACCAAGCCGCGCACGTTGAATAAATCCTTGATATCGTACGGCATCTTGATGGAATATCCCTTGAGTGATGTGATGTGAAAGAAACAATCAGAATTTTTAATCCATGATCCCAGTTATATAAACCCACACACAGATCGGTGATACGTCAATTGACACAGGACAAGTTAGTCGGTATGTCGATCATGATTGGATGTATCACAATGACACTCCCATTTTTCGCTGTACATCCTATCTACACGTCGACACATACATTCTCGTCGATGTCATATTGTCCAGATGAAGCAAATGATAAGTTATATTGGGTTTTGGAAGAAAATACTCTAACGTAGAGGTTCCTACCGCATCTAACCAGTGGCAACACTCCGAGAATCAAGCCAAATCTGAAGCTTGACCCCGTTAAGCTGCCCCAAGCTACCATACTTCGGGCTTCTCTCGGGGAAGCTGAGTAACAGACTCATCTAGGATATGTCTAATTTATCATACCCAAACCCTGCAGGAGGTGCATGACGCACACCGATAAAGAATACAAATCATTGCCACTTGGTTCCAAAGTACTTAAGAGTTGTGGGTAAGGTTCGTTGTCAATCTTGTAGTCCGCTGGTTGGGTGCTACTCAGGAGGTCACGATCATCAGCCGAGAGTTCGTGAGAGAGGAAGCTTCGGTTATAAATCTCGCTGCCGGAGTTCAGATGAATTAGAATTGGAATATGGTTTGCAACCTACGTTTTCGAGGATCTAGTATGGTCTACACGATCTCCTCGGAGCGCTCTAGATCCTACTATACTTGGTAGGTGGCTCTTCTGGTTGCTTGCTTGTTAGATGAACAGCAGGTAAATGCAGAGAGATGTAGTTTCCTGGACAGTAAGTGCAGTACTATCACTCAGGAGAGCGAAAGCACCTGGAAGCAATGATCTTTCTCTCGGCATGTGACGTATCGCACGCGAAAAGCAGAAGGAGCGTCTACTGAGAACCATGATCAAGGTTTGAACCAGAAAGTTTCTTGATCGCCTGACCTTCCCTAAGTCAAAAGCATACAGATATTATTTGCTCACGTATATACACAACCGGACCCAAATGTAATATATTCACCCTTCATCCGTCTAAGTAAGGCCTGACCTCCAGTGTACATGTTAACAGACATTCTAACTTAATCAGAAGTGGCGGTGCAGTTGACACTCAGAAGACTCTCATCGACCTGGACAGCGTTAGTCACCAATTTTGATCTTCACCTGGCTTTGGCCGACTCACATTATCGCAAACAAAGTCGTTGGTTCCATCCGGGCTTGTTACATTGATATTGGACGTATAGATATCCGAGCAAGTCTATCGAGTGTCAGCCATTGCACACCAAACGCCTGTCCTAGAGGGCACTTACATCAGGACTGGAGCAAACAATTGTCCCAACATAGGGATCTTCCGATCCTGACGTCGTACCGCGGAAGTTCTTGATGTGGACGTCCGAGATGGTGAGAGAGCTCTATTAGTGTGTTAGAGTTGCCTCGGGGAAGCGGCTGAAGGTCTACTAACCGGGTACTCGTTGCACAAGGTAGTATTCTTCTGTCCATAGCACTGCGTGATTTCAATGGCCCAGTCGACATTATCAATGAGTGCGGTGTCATAGGTGATATTCTTTACGCTACCCGAGCCACCGCCGCCTTGAAGATCGGCAGATAGCGCAGAGGGAGTACCAGGCCAAACTTTGATGCGGGCCATATCCTGCAACCAAGTCAGTAAGAAGTTTATTATTTGGTTAAAGTTCAGACATACCGAAGCGTTGAACATAGAGATGTTGTACACATAGACATTCTCAACGATGTCAACCTCATCCTTGTATTGGCCGAGAGAGCCCACAGAAATGCCGTGGGAGCCATTGCAGTGAAGGTTCTGAACGAGGATATTGGTGCTGTTTGGCTTGAAGGAGACACAGTCTTTGTAGGTTTGCAGGTTAGAATTATTGAAGAATGACGCTACTTAGATTGACTTACCATCACCGTTGTTGATCACCGAGTTCTGAATAACGATATTGTTCGAGCGGTAGGTATCCCTACGGGAAAAAAAATGTCAGTATGACCCTCGGTGTAAAGCAGGCATAAACGCACCATCCATCAGTGTTCTTGGCCTCGTTATCGCTCTTACTATAACCCGAAATGTCAATCCCATCAAAGAGGACGTTCGACGAATTAGCCACAAAGTGGTAGTACTGCGGCGAGTACCGCAACTTCAGCGGACCGATTGTGCCACCATTCAGTCCGATAATGCCCATCAAGATGGGACGCAGAATGAGATCATCTTCGGCATACAGATCATACCAGACCTGTCCGTTGCCATTGATTGTACCACCACCGTACATATTCACATCTTCACCACCGAGTTGGAAGAAGGTCGTAGCGTTCTGGAAGCCCTGTTTGAAGGAGTTGGCCTGCCAGTAGTCTGTATCGTTGGTGAATAAGATTGTTCCGAGGACCTCTGTTGAATCATAAGGTTAGTCAATGGTCACCTTGATTGGGTCTGCAGAATAAGCACCTAGGTCAATGTTCTTCAGGAAGGTCATATCCAACGCCGTCCCGATAATATACTCCTTATCCTCATCGAAAACGACCTTTCCACCGTGGTTACATTGGTTCAATGCGGAGAGAATGTAATCCGAGTCGTCAGTGCCATCTCCATGGCTGCGGACATGACAGGTCTTGTCCCTGCTCTGACTTGTAGGTAGAGGCCGGAAAGGCTTTTTTGGGCCGCAGGCAGCTTCCCTAGACCGGGAGAAGGCCTCTGCTGTAGCTCCTAGCGCAAGAAGGCCAAGCGTGTGCGAGAGAACGTGCGTGAGTCTCATTGTGCGAAATTGGCAGGAGACAAGTCTGGGTTCACAGACAGAGCTTGGGCAGGATTACCGCAGAGCAATGACGATCACCACTGGCATTTATATCCATTGCACTGAGTCGACATTGCTCCCCCGCAGTCTTGCCCACACTGACCAACACCACCCATGTCTCCGAGTTGGGGAGTTCGCTGGACTCCATATCCGGGGAAACGCAGTCAACCAAACGGAGCAAGCAAACCACGATTGTGGAGCTATGCTAAGCTTGTGGCTTGCTCCTGTAATCAACAGGGGCACTTGGAGACAGCTAGCTGCTGGAGAATGTGGTGGTGGGGGATTGCGTGGAGGAGCAACGAGAGACGATGTGATAGGAGGGCTTGTCGGAGACGATTATCCGATTGGGGGAAAAACGTGTTTCTGGGGAATTGGCAGGGACCTTACCCCAGCCATCTTCTGCATCATGACTTCATTTTTATGGAGAGAGCAATACCCGGTTATTCTTTAATCCCGGTTAGATGATGTTGTCGCGCAGGTCAATTCCCGAAATTTGCGGTAAGTGCAGGTCAGTGCAAACTCCGTGTGGTACAAGCCTCGTGGACAATACACACCACCACTAGGAAGCCTTTTAAATGGCCGACAGCTGCTAAGCTTCTACTAAGTAGTAAATATATACTGTAACAAAGTTACCCGAACCGTCTCTATCTCCATTCCGAGAATCACATAAGCCGATCTCAGCGGTCTCAATGGTCTACATCACTGACAAGCGTAGAGGAATGTCGATGCAATTTATAAGGGAATATGTACATATATAAGTCGGAGTCGCCTCCAGCCAACTTCATCTCATGATATGCTCTATGAGCCTACTCACCAATGCCAACGGGAAGACAATCTATTGTCGCTTAGGCTGCACTTTACGCAACCCTTGTCCCAGACCAAAAGTTGTTTAAGCAGACTTCTCGACGGCAGCCTTCGCCTGAGTAGCAACGGCCTTGGCGTCGTCGGCCACCTCCTGTTCCAGATCCTGCACGGCGGCGGCGGTCGAGCCATCAACGCTACGGCGGTAGTTGATAATGCGGCCGACCTGGACAACACCGACACATCCGAGGAAGAAGTTGACAGCAGCGAGCCTAGCCAGTCAGTATACTTTTCCACCTTTTCACAAATCAAGGTCGAAGTACATACAGGTAGTTCTTGGGGGTGATGATCATGCACCAGCGAGTCCAGATGCAGCCAGTGGCCATCAGAGCACCGTTCTGAGTGAGGGAGAGCTTCTCGGCAGGGCGGCTAAAGTCGGAGATACCGGCGATGACAAGAGCCCACTGGTTGAGTCAGTGAGATAGTACATAGATATAGTAGGAGTATCGCGATTGAGAATGAAGATCTGAGGAACAGGTTTCAGCAAGGTGCATGATTTCGTACCTTCATAACGGGGGCCCTATGACACATCAGTGTTAGTATACAATGCAATATAAACATCCACATAATTTGAAAAAAAGAAAAAAGAAAAAAAAGCAAAGGCAACAACATCATATCCGAGTATAACTATAACTCACCAGAAATGCACCGTCTTCACACCGACCGGGCTGTTCCATAGACGCTGGAAAGTGCTCTGTTGCTCAGCGGCCGCAGCATCGGAGCTCTGGAAGCGGAAGCCTTGGGCACCAGGCCGACGGAAAGGGCCATATGCGTTGCGAAAAGCAGCTCTGGTGTTCTGGAAGAAGCGAAGACCAACACGGGAGGACGACATGGTGATTGATTTTATATGGCGCGGATACGGCGTGAACGGGACGAATCAAGGACGGCGGTAAGAGGGTGGAAAAACCGGTGAGATAAGGACAAGGATCGGTCCAATTGAAGAAGAGAGTGGAGATGTTCAAGACACGGCGTGCGCAACAACAGCAATAGGCGACCAGCCGGGGAAATCTGAGAATGGAGATCTTGGTAAAATGACGAAGGGAAGAGTGAGTCCCAGCGGCCCCGAGGTCGGCCTTCCGTTGGGGGTTGCGGCTCTTTTCCGGCTGAGGTAAGCGGTGACAATCACGCTTGACCGGATTGGTCTGTACGGGCTCAGAACCTCCAGCGGGAATCAATTCATCGTCTCCTCCCCCAGAGTCCCTGTGATCAGCTTCAAGCTCCCATTATCGGTCCTTGACCCCTCCGTCGCCCCCAATTGATACCCTGCGCCGATTTCTACGGGGCTAATTTTTGTTGTTGACTCTCGTTGCGAACTCCGGTCCTCCCGTCTATCACGATCTTCCCCCACAATGTCGTCCAAGTACGTCTTCACCAAGGGTCTGAAGGAGCTGCGCTTCCTTTTCTGCCAGACCTCTCAGGCTAGCTCTGCTACTCGGTGAGTCTACAATGTTCCCAGTTGGTATTACGTGAGGGGGTTGCTGACAACTAGTATCTGTAGCTCGTTCTTGCAGCGCGCATACCCGACCATGAAGAAGCACAACCCTCACACCCCCATCCTGATGCGCGAGGCAGCTGGTACTGTGCCTAGGGTGTACGCCAGATACGGTACGACGAAGTTTTCGAAACCACACCAATGATGGATGAATTCATGGCTAATAATTTCGCAGCTTTCGGCCAAGAGAAGCAGGAAGCTCTGACCGGTAAGATTCTTGAGCGGAGATTATAAAGGCAAAACTGACCATGATGCACCCCCAGGCTTGACGGACCAGCAGATCGAAGAGAAGATCACTCAGTTGGTGAAGGCGTCTTCATAGCGAAATCACGACGCGTCCGTATATGTTCATGCACCGCATTTCCAATTTGCACTGTATCTATAGATGAAATGAAACTCGTTCGCCGTGATAACCCAGTCAATATTTACACGATTCCATTGTTCGCTTTCCACTCTACAAAGAACTAGTACTGTTGGCGATTTCGCCGAATCTATATTGCGCCCAACTCATGCTTCCCTCCTTCAAGGTCCACAGTCTCCTTCCAACATCATCGCCCGCAGCTCCGGCTCCAATATGAATCGGAAGCAGGTGATCGAAATACGGGTGTGCCTGCCGAGCATCCGGCCGCTTCAGCAAATCTGCCATAGCCTGTTCTCGCTCCGCTGGCGCTTTCGTGACGGCCTCCTTCAGAGCTTCATCGAAGCTGGCAGTATACGGCAAAGGCCGCGGGTCACCCCAGGTGAATTGCATATCGCGCAGATTATGCACCGCCATGCCGGAGACGATGATCAAGATGTTCTCCTCCCGGAGTCTCGAGACCGCCTGACCAAGTCGGTAATGCTGGACAGGATCCTCCGTTTTGAACAGCGATACCTGCACAACAGGGACATTCAGAGGGTTCTTCTCAGGCTCAAAAGCTACAGCCAAAAGTCAGCATCTCCCAGCCAAACCATCGTTCAATCTCAACCAAACATACCGCACTTGAAACTCGCCCACACACCATGATCAAGACCTCTCTTCACCCCCTCTCCCTTAATCCCCGCCTGGCTCAACGCATCGAGGACCTTATTCGCAACCTCCCGACTCCCAACATTAGGATACTTCTCCTTGTAGTAATGACTAGGGAAGCCATAAAAGCTAAAACCAACGTTAACCAAACATCCATCACCAAACCACCAACCACACTCAGGAAACGGAAAGAGACAACATACTCATAAATCAAATCCGTAATCTCCGCCGTATTAACCTGGATAGTATCCCTCCCCGCCTGCCAATGTGCCGAGAAAACCACCACCGCGCGCGGCTTCACTTTGGTAGTAATTTCCTTTCCAATCTCACCCAGCTTATGATACGCCGGGTGCTCATGATCATACATGATATTCGGCTGCACAGATCAGCATCCATAAGTAGAGAAGAGGATAGGGCAAAACTCACCCCACCATGACTCAAAAAATAAACCGGCGTTCTCGCCATCATTACCCGATCTCCAAACCCCCGCGAACCAGAAGCAGAACCAGAACCAGAAGCCCTACCACCCGCACCAACCAAAAACCGTCTAAGACCGAACAGATTGGCGTCAGCACTACCAGTACTACTAGTACTTCCGGTATAGCCCCAAAAGCCAGCGACAGCAATAGCAAGAAGCAAAGTAATCACCGCGAAGAGGACCGCCAGGGTTGATTTCTGTTTTGGTGGTGTGCTAGTAGTAGTAGTGTTCTGATGAGATGATGGTGCGGAGGAGGATGGCGGAACGGGGGCAGAAGACATAAATTATCTATAGGAAGGATTCGGAATGTTCCCGGTGCGGGCTCAGATCAGGGTAGCTTAAGAAAATGAGGGGGGAAAGGAAGGAAGGCAAGGGAATATGCATGGAAGGGTGCAGAAGGATATTTTCTTCTATTTGTTGCGCGTTTCACGGAAGGATTGTTTTCTCAATGAGTTGTGATTGATTTATTATGCAGGGTCTTGGGGTTACAATGTGGTGTGATGAGAGATGATGGGCGATATTGTAATCATTAGCGATCCGATCGGGAGGAGGCGCTATCCGTCGGATGGAGTGCGGAATTGGGCCGCGGTGCTTTGACTTTACTACTGAGCATGCATATGTTTATGATTTATACTAATGTACTACAAAGTACTCTGTTCATATAAGCAGTTCTTTATTAAGGTATTATAAAAAAGGGCATCATCATGCGGTGTCTAGTCTAAGCAAAATAACCATGAGAGTTGAAGATGCGGTCCGGTACAATCCAGATTGACCTCCCCAATTCATCTAATCATTCCCCCGGTGAAGTCCTCCCAGGCCAGAAAATGCATGCATCATAGTAATCCAATTCCAGCTCGTTAGGTGGGTATAAGCATACGCCAGCGATGAAAATACACTGGCAGACAGGTCCAAAAAGAGTATTAAACTGGTAGAACGAAAACGTAAACATCCCCCGAAATTTCCACCATCCAGTTGTCATGCTCATTTACATAATGACACAATCGCCTTCGTTCTGCTTTTGTTGATTGACAGCAGACCGGGACAGTCGGGTCTTTTGCATCCGAGCGCCGCCCTGCTTGATCTCCTCGAGACGCTCGCGCGCTTTGGGAAATTGTTGTGCTGTAGTGAAGCCACATTAGCGATCGAAAGGGCATAAGGAAAGTAGAAGAACTCACCAGCTGCCCGCCAGTACCACCTCTTCGCATCGTCCAGGTTGGCAGCTACACCAATACCGACTTCGGTGAAATATCCCATCGCGTATTCTGCTTTGGCGAGACCGGCAGTCGCGGCTTTGCGCGCCCAGAGATAGGCTTCCGTGTCACTCTGCTGGAGGATACCCTCCGCTCCAGTAAGGTACCATCCACTGAGAGCAAGTTCACTCTGGTGCTCGCCTTGGGCCGCAGCATGAGTGTACCAGATGATACTCTGGCGGAAGTCGACAGGGCATCCCATCAAGCCGTACTCATACGCAGATCCCAAGCGGAATTGAGAGAACTTGTATCCCAATTCGGCAGCCTGGTGGAAAAGTTGGCTTGCGTAGGCTTCATCCCGAACGACGACATCATTGGGTCCCGCATTTGCGTACATAAGTGCAAGCTCATGAAGGGCATGTGGGTTCTCGGCATCGGCACGCTCTGCGGCACGCTTTAGCCAAGAGATACCTTCACGAGGGTTCTTGGCCTGCCCAAGAAGGCCTTTGAGCAAGATCATTCCCATCTTGTACATCGCAGGCGGGTCTCCCAAGGATGCAGCACGCTTGTACCATTGCACTGCCTTGAAAGGGTCGCGTTTAGTGCCTCCGCCTTCTTCCTGTCCTATCTCGCAGCATACAGCGACTCGGTAGGCAGACTGGGCATGTCCCGCCTTAGCAGCGGAGTGATATAGGCTGTAAGCTTCCTTAGGGTCCACTTGAAGACCCATCTGTCCTGACCCATAACAATCCGCGAGGAAGAACTGAGCGTCCGCGTATCCACTGGATGCCAACTTCTTGACGATCTTGTAGCCATCCATAACATACCTCTCGCGGGCTTTCGCTTTGGTCTTGGGATCCATCCGGCTGCTGTCAACCAGGACGGTCGACGCCTCAACCAACTTCTTCGCAAGTAGAAGCTGGGTCTTGTTGTCTGACGGCCTACTTTTGGCCATCTGTTGAAGTTGTTGAAGTTCTTGCTGGGTGACAGGACCGGATGCAGCTGGTTCCACGGGCGCGGCTTGCGGTGGGGAAGCAGCAGGAGGGGGAGCTGATGCGTTGGCATTGTTATATTGTCGTACCGGTGCAGGTTTGCTTCCCTGATCGTGGCCCGGACGGAAAGGAACGGGGTGGTGAGGGAGAGCATCAGGATTCTTTTGGGGATCCACAGCTTCGGGCCGATTCAAAGCTGGTGCTGGCTCAGCCACAGGCATCGGTTGATTGGGCCTGTAGGGGCGAGGTGGATTGCCCCGGACAGAAGGCTCTGGGACAGGATAGCCACTATTGGGTTCAGGATAAGCTGGCATTCCAGCACCCCAGTTCCCCTGATCTTGAGGGTGGGGCTCCTCGTAGGGATGCGGACTGTAACCATATCCAGCACCAGCCTGAGCATAGGCGGGTTGGATTGGTGGACCCTCATTCGGCAGGTCAAACTGGAAGCCTGCATTTGCAAATTGATTCGGCGCAACTGGGCCCCTGGCTTCCACTGGCGATTGCGGATAAGGATCGGCTGCTGCATGAGGGTTGAACGCAGTGTATCCCCCACGAGATGAAGGGGGCGACTCGATGGGTGCCTTGGCCTTCGGCTGTTCAAGGCCGGGCAAGCTTTCATCAATCACTCCGCCCTTCGCGAAATCAGGCATCGCATCAAAGTTGGGCATATCAGTCTCACCAGCATGAGCCGAGTTATAATAACTGTCCACCCATGCCTCAGTATCGAAATGCTCATGCGGACCCGGCTGCGGTTGAGAGTAAGGATCCTGGTAGGTTGATTGCCCAGGGTACAGAGGCTTGGGCGGCGGAGGTGACATTGTCGGCTGGACCGGCATGGTAGCACTTCGATTGACGTGTGGTACAGGCGGCGGGTCATTAGGATCGGTGTACGGCCTGTCGCTTTGAACAGACGAAGCTGCCGGACGGCCAGTACTTGCTGATCGCACAGGAGCGGCGGGGTAGTTGCTTCTACCACGGCCAGGGGATACAGGTCTAGGTGGTCGCCTACTATGCGAGGTATGCGGACGATCCGGTACCTGTGAAGGGGGTATTGGGCCACCATTGAGGTCCATTGCGGCCATCTCACCTTCAATACTTCTCGGTCCGTGCGGGTCTTTCGTGGGGAAAGATGGAAACGGATTATCAAATGCCATCTTATCAGGAGATTGCGGCGGACGAGCAGCTAGACTAAGTTAACGGCATGTTCCAGATCAGTGGGCTCTTCATACTCACGTCGTCTCATCTGAGGAGGTGGTCTGTCCCCGTAGCCACGACGGCTATCGTATCCCTGCGGCGGCGGAGGGCGTCCGCGATGTGCATATCCACGAGCCTCCATCGGGGGTCCATAGCCACCACGCGGAGGCCGCGGAGCCCCTGGTGGAGGCACATACGACCGGGGGACTGCGCTATCACCGGGATAACCGCGTCCTGAACCCTGAGGACCATTACTGTATCCATAGTATTGGTTGTCATGGCCATAATCATATTGTCCATTTGGCGGCGGACCCTGGAAGGCCCCGCCCCGGGCGGGAGGAGCGCGGGGACCATAGTTTCGCATCGGAGGAGCCCTCTGCGCTGGATGTTGCGGGTATGCCATTATGCCAACAGTAATCTTGCGAACTGTACAAGGGAAAGGAGTCGACACGGGCTTTTGAACAAACGATTGCGGATTCTGTATCCGGGTTGGAAGCGCGGGGAACAATCAATGCACTAGTAGACAATGCTCACGCTCCCCTTTCACTATCTACACCAATAGGAGGTCAGCCAGTGAGACAAAGGTACATATGGGCAAAATGCTGCTAGATCCTGGTAGTAGTAGAGGGGGGCGCTTAGCTTACTGGAAGCTAGGTAATGCGAAAAGTGACACCGGGACTAAGATTCAACAATTCCATGCGATATATGCAGCCATTAGACCCTGAAGAAAGACCAGCGCGAGACTAATGTATCCTAGCGAAAAGGAAAGGAATGCTGTCAGCGGTCGAATTGTGGGCGCAAATGACTGCAGAAGCCGGGGGCGCGATCGCACGGCGAATGCGCGAAGCCGGACCAACTCACCAGAACACGAGGGATAACCTTCCCCCCGCCAGGAATGAAGGAATGCGGGACCGGGGCAGGGAAAGCAAGATATAAAAGATGGCTTAGGAAGAATGACCTTTGTGAGGAAATAAAGAGCGTGTGACCTCCGAGGGAGGAGGAATTTTAAATTAGTGACAGAAGGGGGTGGTGGAGGTTGGCGGAGGTAAAGACGATAAGTGTCTTTGGGTGGTCGAGGGTTATAGGGACGGAGTCCGGAGTAGAGTACCTGACGGGTAAAGTAGTCTGACTGGATGGAGAGGGGAAACAGAAAGCCACCCGTGATTTTAAAACTTCCCCCTCTGCTAGTAGTAGACTGGAGTGACAAAAAAAAAAAAAAAAAAAAAAAAAAAAGTGGGAGCAACAACACAAGGGATTATGATTATTATTATAATTACTGATTGATTGACCGCGACGATGAAACAACTTTATGAATGCCCACTCATTATGCCTTCGTTCTCTCCTCTCCTTTGTCTCTGATCAACCATGCACAACTCCTAGCGAAATACCCAGAATGCATGACTGAACTGTTCGCGCACCCACTCAACTATCTAGTCTACTCACTGGTCGGCTACTGACACTTTGGAACGGTTCTTCTGAACTGACCCACGCCCGTCCCGCCGGGAATACTGTCGCTGGTCAGAGTTAGATATCGGTGTCCACTTCTCGCCGGTACAAACGGATCTCCTCATCCGTCGCCCGACCCCATTCAGTCTAGTGGCAGCAGGAGTCATGGCTTTGGAAGTTTGGAACCTGGGTGAAGGACATTAAAGAGGGACTTTGTGGCACTGGTGCCATGTATCGACAGTGGGTAATTATATCCCAGTGCACCGTCAACCAGACCTACCAGCATTCCCGACTCACCCTTCTTCAACTACAGAATCAGAAACCGTTGGAGTCTGATAACCGCTTGGCACGGCGCTACCCAAGACTCCCATCTAGGAAATGACGTTGGATATCCTCTTAAGGCTATTGACCCCTGAGACATGAGATCTACCGCACCCAAATATTTCGAACAGCCATTACCTGTCCATCACCTACGAACCCGCTGCAAGGTCTTGAGCCTTTTGATCATCAGGGGTCTGGAAGACTTGTGCCAATGGATAGTCAGTAAGCAGTTAATCTTTGAGGGGCTCCTAGTTTAGTACAACGACAGTGGTCACTATGGATCGAACTCCAGCGCAATCTCCGTTCGAAACTTAGGCGCTGCATTTCTATTGGTTTATACGAATACGACATAGCCCCATGCGTTGAATTACATTGAAGGATAAACACTCGGAGTCTGTTACCCAGCCTATGATGTTAACGTAATCCACAATCGCGCGGCCCATACAATCGCGCGGCCCATCTTATAATGCCATATAAAAGTTATCTTTTATAATAATTATAATATCTCAATAACTACACTTTATATAAGTCTATAATGATAAATAGAGATTAATAATAATAAAATAAATATATTAGAAGTGTCCAAATATTTTTAAATAATTTATTTATATTTAATTTAGAGATATCTATAAATTATAAGTAAATTACAGGTATTTTATATTACCAGATATTATATGTAGTTATTAAAATCCAAAAAAAATATTAAAAATAAATTTTTGATTATTATAATCTCTCTTTTAAAGATAAAGTCATATAATTCCAGGATGGTTAAGATATTAGAAATTAAAAAAACAGCTTTTATATAGCATTAGTTGATGGGCCGCGCGATTGTGGATTACATTATCAATCATCAACCTATCTTACATAACCTACTCCATAGTATCAAGTGGCTCATCGAGCCCTATGGGGTACAATGTGCTGATGGTCCGACATAATTTACGGCCTTGAATCAGTTGATTGTCCAAGCGCGTCTCTTGCCATAACACATACTGTATTATTTGCCCCTGCCGCGTTGACGTATCAGATATGTCGCATCGAAAGATACCAACGTGGACCTAGCAGACCTTGCGTCTGCGCGAATGTACTCTATCTATCCACATCCCACTTTCGCAAATGAGAATGCACATCAATTCAACAACGCCAGATGATTTCTCCCTCGTAAAAGCATTTGACTAATAGACTTCCCATATTAAGATAATGATCAGCTGCATCTGCGGATGGAAGTCCCACGCCTAGAATGGAGCTGCACATGACCCAAATGAGTAAAGTAATTCTTCATACCTCGCAAATACTCACCAATGAAGCAATTCTACCGACACCCTACATTTTGCTGTGTGATTATATTTAGAAGTCGATATATCATTGCCGAGCGGACCGATGTCTAAGACATCCCGACGTCACAGTAACCATTCAACAGAGGAAGAGACAACAGAGAATCTCTACGATATTCCCCGCCCTTGGGAGAATCAGCAGCTCATTCGCACAAAATCTGATAGTCTTGTTCTAGTGACATAGTGAGTGGAGCAGCAGCAGCAGCAGCAGCAGCAGAAGAACTTTTTCCCCTCGGAAGAAGGCCAGCAAAAAGGAAGTCCGCCCGAACAATTCCACTCCGCTTCCCTAATTGGTTTCACAATTAAGTAACGGCCACAAACCTGCGCCACCTGCATTACTAGCCTCCACTGCTGCGCCACACACACATATGGATCGGCGCTGCCGAATCCCGTGTGCGTGATTACGATGATGATGTTGATTGATGTCGGAGATCAGACGCACTTCCCGAACGATTCCTCTGTGGCTTCCAACAATTGAAGACATCAACCAACCAACCAACCAACCTCTCGCGTTTAGCTAGCCATTTACAGCAGGGCGATTTCCACCTGCCTTACATCACTCCTCGTCCCAAACCAAACAACAAACAAACAATTGTCCCCAGAAAATAAATCATCCTCCACCATGTCTCGGGCAGGAACCTGGATGAAGATGCTCGGCGTGTAAGGCGCACATCCCACCCACCCACCTTTTTCTCTTCCGTACTTGCCGCGCGATTTTTACAACTAACGGGGTAAATTACTTACTATTAGCGGCATCGTCATCTGTGTCGGCGGTCCGGCTTTCGTCCAATACATCCGTCCTACCGACGAAGAATTGTTCAAGCGTTATAACCCGGATCTTCAGAAGCGGAGTTTGGAGGAAGGTGATCGCCGGGCTCGGGAATTCGATGAATATGTTACCCGGTTGAAGCAATGGTCTAAGTCTGATAAGTCGAGTGCGTTTATGGTCCACCCTTCTTTTACCTTATGGGTGTGTCTGTGAGAAGTTATACTGATGTCATGGGTTTGATTAGTCTGGTATGCGGCGCAGGAACAACAGGAACAGAAGCGCGTGGAGGCTGAGGTACAACGGAACCAGGCTAGGGATGATGCGAAGGTACAACGTGAGGAGATGAGGAAGGAATTGCTGGGTGAGAAATAGGATGTATATCTCCAGTGGAGTGAAATTGCTGTGACTAGCTCATTTCTCTATGCTGGAGATGTAGCTGGATCGGACATGATGCCAGGAAGGACTGTTGACTCCTGCATCGTCCTTGTATTTATACCCATTGCGTCTACCTGAGACCTGTCCAAAAAGCATTGTGGGGGAAGCATTTGGCTCAGAGTTTGTGGAGTTTCGGAGGCTACGGTCTATACTGTATTATATTTCAATGACTAAATGGAAATCCTACGCTTGCATTGTATGTTGTGTCTTTGTGCTGTTCTTGTTCATCGGACTACGCCGACAGACAGCCGAGTATCTTCTAATCGTGGTATCGACGAGGCATTTTATTGGGATACCCCCGTTACTGCTCCTGTAGCGACAACCGTTATTAGGCAGAGGACTCACTAGTAGACCAAAATCTGCCGGTGAGCCGCTGGGACAGATCTGGAGAACCGAGAGCCACTTGATATGACCTGGAGTAATTCGGCACAGCTATACGCATGCCAAAGCCGTTATTAGGCGCACGACAATCTTCGTACGCCGAAAAGAAATAGACTGGTATCCAGATCAACTCCATCAGCGCTTATTGATCGGATTACTGCTGGCCCGGTTGGTCCCACTTTCACTGCATATAAGGAAGGCCTTCAGGCAGTATCCTTGAGACCTATATCGACTTCTTCTAGTTTGAGATGAGTTGGCCACGCGTATACATGGAGGTTGTAGCGAATGAGCACCTCTGCTGAGTATGACGATCTCTTATCCGAGATCTTCTCCGCCCACGCTTGAATGAACTGTCGGGCCAATTTTGCTGCAATCTTCGTATTGATGCTCGCTGTATGAATGGAGTTGTATATATCGCTCAGATACTTGTCGCGGCTGTAGGCCTGTAGGTGTCCGTTCGGACAATTTTAGCATCCATTGATCAAACTGCGATGCAAAGCGTTGTTGTGTCTATTGTTGACATTGGCATAGCGCGGTAAGTGATCACATTGCCCCGCTGGTGGTTGTGAAGGAGAATATTCTTTGCAAAATAGGTCTTGGGATTAAACGTAAACCGTTCCCAGTATTTTGGTTAATATGTCTCACTCGTGAAGGGGGAAAAGTATGACGCTAAAAGCACTTATTACAATGGATATGCAAATAGGTGGTATGAGCAACAAATCTAGCCAAGTCTTAAGCAGATCGAAGAATGCAGAAGTTGGCAGGATTCTTTCGGCAATAAAGTCCTTATCGTATCTATTATCTAGATATCTGGAAGAAGGGTCCACACTCCATACTCGTTAAGGCAGGACTGCCACGTGATGCATGTGACGGAAGGCGCAGCATGCTTACAGAAGACGCACCGCCACATAGTAGGGCGTGTTTCTTAAGCAACGCATGAGATCGGGCAGACCGTTGCCATACTTCATAACACTTGGTAGTGAAGGGTGCCCAATAGACGGACAACTGGTGTTGCTATTTCTGTCTGTATTGCTCTCTCTACCAAAATTGCAGGCATACCTGAGCCTTGCTCCTGCACCTAATGCATACATCGACAGTATTGATAGTTGTAGTAGATCTTCTATGTCCCATGTGAAGCACTAGGTGGATATTGACAGGGTATCCTCTCCTTTTCCATGGGCGCAGTAGTAATCAATAGAAACAAAGTAGCAGCAGTCTCTATACAGCCACTCAACTCAACCTTTTGGCTTTTCACCTTCTCTTTGTTTCCATTCTAGCGGCTGGTCCAATTGGGTCTCACCACTAAGCACAAAATAATAATAGCTGCCTGTGCCGGGGCGTCCTTCCCAATAGACCGCGGGTCACGTGAAACCGCCCCGACCGAACCGAAACGCCTGTAATCTCCAGAAGGCGGGCGGCGATTCATCACACCTTGTCAGCTTCCCTTCAATAACGCATCCTACTTCCCTCCTGCATTCCATCGTCCCGCCACCTTCCACACCATCCTCCGACCTCCACCTTTCTCGCTTTTCACCGTATCCTCAGTCGTCGAGTGTGTCGTTGCGACTTACCGCCTCATCCCCTACGACAGCAACAGGCAGCAGCCCGTCACTTTCCACCTAGGTAGTCTGGTGACTTACCAGGTCCTACACCCCCGAATACCGAGTTCATAGAATCTATCGCGCACGAGAATCATGTCCGAGCAGCCTTACGACCCCTACATCCCCTCTGGCGCCAATGGAGCCGGCGCCGGCGCCAGCGCCGCGCAAAATGGCGACCCCAGGACAAGGGAAATCGACAAAGTAAGTTGCCGAAACGTCTCGCGGCCAACTCTTATCGTACCACAAGGATCTGTCGCCCAGGTTGGATAGGATGTGACGGCTTGCCAGTGCTCATCTGGACGTCCATCTGAGTTCATCTCTACTGGGCGGCAACCCCGGTCTTTTGGATGTTATTGAGCTTGTGTCTATCATGGCATTTGTCGCAAAGCCCTTTACTAACACTGTGTTTCTTTTTTCTCTAGAAAATCCAAGAGACCGTTGATACAATGCGCTCCAACATCTTCAAAGTTTCAGAACGTGGTGAACGTCTAGACTCCCTCCAGGACAAGACGGACAATTTGGCAACATCAGCGCAGGGATTCCGCAGAGGTGCCAACCGCGTGAGGAAGCAAATGTGGTGGAAGGATATGAAGATGCGCGTGTGCCTTATCGTTTGTATCATTATTCTGCTCATTGTGATTATCGTCCCTGCAGGTAAGATCAGCGCTGTTCTCCCGGCACTCCACCCAGCTGGACCCGGTAAAGCATCCCGGAGTGCGCTAACAGCTTTCTCCTTTTAGTTGTCGCAACCAAACATTAAGCTACGAATTCAGAGCGCGACAGTCATGATTGGCTTGGGAATGGATGACGATTTTTCTTTCGCCTGGCCCTGGTTTATCTGTGTTGAGACGAAGCCGTTGTTTCCAGCTATTAATACCACCTGCTTTTTTCTCGGGCGTCAACCTCGTTCTCACGAATAAAGTCTTGTTGTCTCTATACGCCATGGACGCTATGAGCCGGTATGGAGATTGAGGCTATGCCACATGATTCCATCGACGGTGAAGATGTAAATGATACTCTCCGGTGCTTCCTCGTGTTCAAGTATCAGTGCTGTTTGTTAGTTTTGGTCTCCTATGTTTGCTCCTTTTCCTTTTCTCTTTTTTTTCTCTTTATGTATTTCCTTTGTGTCTTTCCCTTTTTAGCCTTTAATGGACCTCTGCTCCAGATTACACACTCAAGAGTACACTGCGAGTATAGTACAGGCAACCTAATTTGTCCTTTTGAGACTTGCACTTGCATAAAAGCGAGAGGGGGAAGAAACGGAGAGAGAGAGCAGGACCTGACGAGAAAGACGGTCAGGGCACACTCATCTGGCCATAAGTCCGACCCATCGTAGCCTGAGACACGGGTAGATAACTCGTATTGCGGATACTACTACGGAGGAGATTACCAGCCATAGATAAAACCCGCACCCCACGGAAAAAGCAAAGGGAGGAAAGGCTCGGATGAAGAGGACCGAAGAGCAAGGAGATGTGGACCACATTAATATGGAATCTGGATACCCAGTTGTACGTGTTAGGTAAAGGGGGGATCAGATAACGAAAAGGATCCATCTGCACTGACGGATTTGACATCTGTGGCCTGAGTCGTGCTGGAGCACGACTCCAGCGAGTTAAGACAGTGATAGGCTGTCGGCAGTTAGCGAGATCTGATAACGGCTTGAAGAGTTATTATTGATTGATGGAAATTGATCATAGGGGATCGTCGGGATCCATATGCTGGGTTTCCATTACGTGTGACGATGCGAAAGAGGGAAGCGAGGTAGTTTGAGGATGGGGGAGCGAAGGGCAACCGGAAATAATGGGAACCGGGACCTTGGAAATAATAGTAATGTGGTGAGTCACTTTTTTTTCGATACCCGGCTCCGAAAGTCGCAGCCAAGCCAGCGTTTCGGGCACTTGTGCGGACTGACGTTTATCCCTCGATATATCTACCTTAAGAAAGCCGGGTTTTGCGCAATTTATTCCAGTGGCCAGATCGAAATTCGCTCACATATAGTGACAGGTTCGACGGAGATCTAGGTGCCCCTGGTTAGCTTATTAGCTTGTGAAAACGGCCTAAAATTCGAGGCAACGCGTGGATGGAGAGAGAAAGATATAAAGGGCGCTCCCGAACGCGGCAAAAGAGCGACATTGAAAAAGGCTTTATAAAAAACCAAGGCTTAACTTAACCCAAGGACAGAATTGGTCACGGCCGAAAAGTAAAGAAAAGGAAAAAAAAAACCCACCTCCGAACCAGGCGACTACGGCCAGCCATTGGGTCGGAGCTAACTAGTGAGTAATAATTCCCCTCTTCCTAAGTTCCCAAAGGGCGCGCGCCCGCTCCGAAGAGTGGCCGATAATCTCTATCTGGACGATCAAACTCTTTGGGGGGTTGCGGCAAATTCCCTGATGAACCCGCACTACTACCACCTCCGCACAACCTTTTTTCCCTCTTCGTCACCTTCTCCTCTCAACCTCCATTACCACTTCTACTCTACTTCTACTTAACTCTCTCTGACTCCCACCCCGTCTCCCCTTCCAGGTCTCCCTCCCTCCGACCTTCCTGTCCGATATAGGCCTCAGCAGCTGCCGCATGCTGGCTGGCAATATGTTCTCCCTTCGCACCGCCGTGCGGAGAGCTTCCTCCAGCAAGCCCCTCCGCGCCGTCTCCGCACAGCATGCTGTTTCTTCTGCCAGACTGGGCGGCGCCTCTGCTCGTCAATCCCTGAAGGCCTCTGCGGTTCCCCTGTTGCAGAGTCGTCACTACTCCCGTGCTACTGACCCCCAGCTTTCCTCCACCCGCTCGACCGTTGTCCAGCTGCTGAGCAACATCGGTTCCAAGCGCGAGGTGCAGCAGTATCTCTCTCACTTCACCTCCGTTTCCTCCCAGCAGTTCGCTGTCATCAAGGTCGGCGGTGCCATCATCACCGAACATCTTCAGACTCTTTCCTCCGCCCTTGCGTTCCTGAACCATGTCGGCCTGTACCCGATCGTCGTCCACGGTGCTGGACCCCAGCTTAACCGTATGCTGGAGGACGCCGGTGTCGAGCCTCAGTTCGAAGATGGAATCCGAGTCACCGATGGGAAGACATTGGCTCTGGCCCGGAAGCTGTTCCTGGAGGAGAACCTGAAGTTGATTGAGGAGTTGGAGCGCATGGGTGTCCGGGCGCGCCCTCTCAACGCGGGTGTCTTCACCGCTGATTACCTGGACAAGGACAAGTACAACCTGGTTGGCAAGATCAATGGCGTGAACAAGAAGCCAATTGAGTCTGCCATTGAGGCTGGCTGCCTTCCCATTCTTACGTCTATGGCTGAGACTCCCGATGGCCAGGTTCTCAACGTCAACGCTGATGTGGCTGCCGGTGAGTTGGCGCGTGCGCTCCAGCCGCTCAAGATTGTCTACCTTGCCGAGAAGGGTGGCTTGTTCAACGGCGACACCGGTGAGAAGATCTCTGTGATCAACCTCGACGAGGAGTACGACCACCTGATGACTCAGTGGTGGGTCCGTCACGGTACCCGCCTGAAGATCAAGGAGATGAAGGACCTGCTCAGCGATCTTCCTCGTACCTCCAGTGTGGCCATCATCCACCCTGCTGATCTGCAGAAGGAACTCTTCACCGACTCTGGAGCCGGTACGCTCATCCGCCGTGGAAACAAGGTCCACGTTAAGACTTCTCTCTCTGAGTTCGAGGATCTCGAGAAGCTCAAGGAGGTCCTGGTTCGTGACCGCGAGGGCCTGGATGCCCGCGCCACGGTTGACCGTTACGTCGAGGGCTTGAAGGAGCGTGACTTCAAGGTCTACTATGATGAGCCTATGGAGGCCCTGGCCGTTGTTCTGCCCCCTCAGAAGGACGCTACTTCTTCCCTGGCTCACTTGGCTACCTTCACCATCACCAAGTCCGGCTGGTTGACCAACGTTGCCGACAACGTCTTTGCTTCCATCAAGAAGGACTACCCCAAGCTTGTCTGGACCGTCAAGGAGGATGATGAGAACCTGACCTGGTTCTTCGACAAGGCCGATGGCAGCCTCAGCCGTGAGGGAGAGGTTCTCTTCTGGTACGGTGTCGAGAGCGGTGAGGAGGTCAAGCAGCTGGTGCAGGAGTTCAACCAGCACGGTCGCCAGATGTTTGGAGACATCAACCTCGAGTCGAGGCTGCACCGCGCCGCCCAGGCCGCCACTCACATTGGCAAGGGTTTTGGTGCTAGCGGTGCTTCTGCTGAGCAGAAGCGTGCCTTCTCCTCTACCAGCAATGCTCTGCGCGCCGCTCGTTCCGCTCGTCCGATGGTTCCTGTGCAGACCGTCAGAACCTACGCCACGACGAACCCTAACCCCCCGTTGGGAGAGAAGAACATGTCCAACACCCGCCCCGCCAAGGTTGCTCTTATCGGAGCCCGTGGTTACACCGGCCAGGCTCTGATCAGCCTGCTCAACGCCCACCCTCACATGGATCTGCGTCACGTCTCTTCTCGCGAGCTGGTTGGCAAGAAGCTGCAGGGTTACGACAAGCGTGAGATCATCTACGAGAACCTCAGCCCCGAGGATGTTAAGCGCATGTCCTCCAACGGAGACGTCGACTGCTGGGTCATGGCTCTGCCCAACGGCGTTTGCAAGCCGTTTGTTGATGCCGTGGACCAGGGTGCCGAGAAGGGCAACGTCATCGTTGACCTGAGTGCCGACTACCGCTTCGACAGCAACTGGACCTACGGTCTGCCTGAGTTGGTCAGCCGTTCCAAGATTGCCCAGGCTACCCGTATCGCCAACCCTGGATGCTACGCTACTGCCGCTCAGATTGGAATTGCTCCCCTTGTGCCCTTCCTTGGTGGCCAGCCCACTGTTTTCGGTGTTTCCGGCTACTCCGGAGCTGGCACCAAGCCCAGCCCCAAGAACGATGTGGACAACCTCACCAACAACATCATCCCCTACAGCTTGACTGATCACATTCACGAGAAGGAGATCAGCGCGCAGCTCGGTACCAGCATTGCGTTCATCCCTCACGTTGCTGTCTGGTTCCAGGGCATTCACGTATGTTACCCTCGTTTTTATGCTGTTTGATACCACATTGAGTCGAGGCTGACTTCTATACAGCACACTATCAGCATCCCCTTGAAGGAGGAGATGAGCTCCCGCGACATCCGCAACATCTACCAGGATCGTTATGCTGGTGAGAAGCTCGTGAAGATCGTTGGCGAGCCTCCTTCCGTCAAGGACATTGCTGGCCGCCACGGCGTTGAGGTTGGTGGCTTTGCTGTCCACTCCAGCGGCAAGCGGGTCGTCGTGTGTGCTACCATTGACAACCTGCTCAAGGGTGCTGCCACCCAGTGCCTGCGTAAGTTCTCCAGCTCAACAGTTCGTGAACTCACATGGATAGACATGAAGCTAATGCTCGCTACAGAGAACATGAACCTTGCCCTTGGCTACGGCGAATACCAGGGCATCCCTCTTGACTAGGTGTCTCCTATATGTTAGATACACCTCATGTACTATGATCTGGTCCGGGGGTAGGTATAGAACCCCCTCCCATACGGGGGCTTATTTTTTTGGAATCGAGAAAATGTCCTTCGTGTTTTAAAGTTCTGGTTTGATCTTTCTTGCGTGTCTCATACCCCACGTGCATCTTTCTGGGTTGCTATGGGTTGGAGATAATTGTAGCAGCATTTACCTCTTCCTTCATTTTCCATAGTCAACTTGATTTTCTTTCACTTTTTCTCTTGATTCTCGGTTTTTTTTCGTCCTCTATAGACCCCTGGCTTCTTCGGTCGTTATTCTGTATTGCCATGATTGTGTTGTCTTAATGGGCACCGAAAAGCACCTTCCCTGTATAATGTCTGTGGGTTCGATGATGTTTCTTGATACTGATTTAGTGTAGCAATATAGAAAGG